TAATTAGCTCCCATACCAGCAGTGTACACACATGTTTATTTAAGGCAGAACTTAGATCAAATACACACACACACACACACACACACACAAGCTTTTTGAGGGCCCTGCTGGACGCTGCTCCCTCTTTTTTGTTTGGTATTTGGTTGATTATTATTATTATTTTAACAAGCTAGTTTTTTGTAGGGATTTTTTTTCTCTTTTTTAGTTGGGCTCATATATTTTCAATAAGTCCTAAGTTGTGGATCTGAAAAGGTCATTTCAAAAAGTCTTTTTTTTTTTTTTTTTTTCAAGGATTTCAGGTGAAGATATTTCAAAAACACAAGATCAAATTTATATTAAGTCATAAGTGTTTTAGAGTTTTCACATTCATGCGCTTCACGCTCTAAATATTTTCGCTCCTTGTAGAGCAAACACTGGGAGAAGAGCTCTTTGGGCTTGAGTTGAGTCTGTAGTCTGATGCCTGACAGACATTGTCCCTCTGGCCAACTATACATTAAAAAAACATTTCCTCAGTAACAATACAGCTTAGAGTGTGTCAAACGGGTAAGCGATCGATGCCCTGCTCCGTAGAGTCAGAGGAATCTCATCTCTCTATGGAGCTTTATATGGTAGGACGGGTGTGACAGAAATGTTAGTGGTTTGGAAGCATCAAGTCTGAAGGTGCTAAACCTTGAGCTTACTAACCAGCCTCTCAGGGGTGTGCAGCATGCGTTCGTTTTGGGGTGGATCTCAGATCTATGGGAAACACAGAGAGTAAAATAAAACACGGAGACAGAAATGAGGTGCAGTTCTGTACCCATATACTGAAGGTTATTCATCAGCAGGATCCTCAGAGCTTCCTATAAGTAGACCAACACCTCCATACTCCCTACTGGATTGACATCAAATCCGACTGGCCAGTTAAAATTTTACAGCTTTTAATAACCCAGCGACCAGGCAGCTGTCTCTGGCGATTCCTGTGTCACTTACCACCACAAGAGTAAAACCACTGTGTGTCACGGAGAAGATGGAGAAGTCTACAAATGCAAGGATTGGCACCCTGCCTGCTGGTCATTCTTCAGCTGAGAAAGAAAAAAGGCTCCTTGCGTCCAATGTACACACATTGGTAGCAAGAAGTCTACCAATGTGTTAGATGTTGTGTGGTGACTTCATCCATTAGATTTAGATGTGAAAAATATTTCTTTTTTTTTTTTAACTGGGCCGAAAATGTAGAGCATGGTTATTCCAGCTCATCTTTGCTGAGCTGAAATTTTTACCAGTGAACATATCGACACTGTTAAACTCCTGTATAAAAATAGATTAGCACATACTATTTCTGTGGTGTGGATGGATGCTTGATGGCTGATGGGAAATCCATTTCTGAGAGAAACTTCGATGGAGAAATATCTCCCGGGTGTTTGCAGACCGTCTGCCTAGATCCACCGTCCATTCTGCAAAAAAAAAAAAAGTTTATCACCGTCTGATCTTTTTAAAGTCATTATCCCCATAAAATCTCTCACATTACTTAGTCGCAAGACCTGTCTCCTGCTTTTAGCGCGACCGAAACACTTGTGAGAAATTAATTATAGTCCAGAAGTAAACAAGGATCAGTCACATTTCCCACAAATTAAAGACATTCGTAAACAAGAAAAAAAAAATGATATTGCTACACACTGTATAAGCAATAAAGATATAAAAGCCAAATCTCTCTATTGAAACAGCCTAGAAGTCTTTGGATTAAAGATGTAGTTTAAAAGGCTGAGCTTCTTTGGTGTGAAACATTTCACAAATTGCAGTAATACCTGCAGGAGCATCAGTGATTGTTCATAAAGCTCTTAATTTTGAGTTGCCTCCCTCAAGCTTCTGATCAACTCACCTGGTGCTTTTCAGCCATTCGGTTGGAAACAAATGTGGGGTCGAGTTAATTTATTCCTCGCCAGAAACTACTCCCTTCTTATTACACTTGGCAAATGTTTAAGAGTTTTGCTTTTATTTTGAAACTTCATGACTGTCAGAAATAATATTAAATCCACATATGAAAGACAGGCTGTCACAAGATGTCATTTTTTTGTACCTTTTGGTTTTCCAGCATAGAACTTAGAATTTCTAAGTTCTATACTGGAATATTTTTCCTCGATTATTCAATGCTAAAAGCAATAAAACCTATTCCAAGCTGTTTGACTAATGTTTACCTATTTACGTCTCCAAGCTTTCCTTCGGATCACTCAGCAGTCCTCGGCTTGCAGTGATCTCAGTGCTACAATAATAAACGCAACCATGAAAGGAGGAGATTAGGATACAGGGATCTTTTCTTGGCATTTTTTGCCCCGCTTTTTTTTTTTTTTTTTTTTTTCCACCACAGTCACCATACGGTGAAATCCGAAGCGTCTTTGCTCAATTTGTTTCAGCGAGCCAGATTTCTTTTGTTTTGCTATTCGTATCCGATAAGACGACTCATAGGGAGGACGATGCTTGGTAACGTGACAGCGTAGTCCTGTTTTGGCTTTGCTTTACAGCTGTGTGCGGGATTGAACACAATTCCTCGCCCAATGAGAGCAGGAAAGAGGATGCTAAACCCCTGGGTTTAAAGGAATTCAGCAGCTTATGAAGCTTCGTACTGGCAGCAGGAGGTGGAGGAGGGAGCGGGGGGTGGGGGGCCTTAATCTTCCAGTGCAAGCCAACACAAGTTTCAGGTGGTCGAGCTCCTTGATCACTGCACCATGAGAACCACCTGAATGGTCAGTAATGGGGGGGAGGGTGGGAGCTGATGACAGGAGGAGTGTAAAAGTCCAGGATGTCATGGTAACCCCAACACTCACACGGCATCCCGCTATCTCTGCATCATTGACTTTCTAATTTATTGTCATTAAATTTATTCAATGTCGCTCTCTGTACGAGAGCGCCTCAACATAACTCGCATGAAGGCAACATCTGGCACGCAACAGGAGTATGCCGTCATGTGCTGCAGTTGTCGGTCCGTGGTTATAATTCAGTCTTTGCGTTCGTGACCTCTAACGAGCACAAATGTGTGTCCAATAATGTTGCGACCGTAAGACAGAAGGTTGGCAAACATGAAACCCAGATATGTTAAAAGTCATGGATCACTGCTATGACTGGAGAGTTCAAAACCAGTCAACCTGAGAGGCTGAGGGACTGTCCAGGTGCTTCAGTGTTCAGGTTTACTCAAACTGTGGCAGGGGGTCCAATTTATTATTTTTATTTTTTTGTAATACATCACTTTCTCGCATATCTGCAGAGAGGCCTACACTGTAAATAATAGAACCCTAGGCAGTTTATAGATTTTATTTCTGAACATGTTGATTTATCTCCACTTCAATGGTTTAGGTATGTCACACTTGAACATTTTCACATTTTATTTCATGCAACAACCACAATATTCAATGTATTTTATTTGGGCCTAATGGAAAAAGCAAAGGAACATTGGTCATGGTTGAGAGGAGGAGATGAATATATGGCAATACTTGGAGAAAACCTGATAAAGGTCTAAAAAGATCTAAGGCGAGAATGTAGATTAAAAAAAAGGGATTCACTGAGTGTCACAATAGAAGAGTTTAAATCAAAGACCTAAATATAAGATGTATAAATATAAAATTCAACAGAAAGCACTGAAAACAAAATCTATTACAGTGGAATGTAATGTGAAAAGAATGAAAGGGTTATGAATATTTTCGCAAGGCACCGTACTGAGTAAATTACTGACTGAGAGAGGAAAACATAAAACAAGCAGAACTAAAGATAAAATGAACAAAAAATGCTTTAAAGAAGACTGTCAGAGACAAAAACCACTACTGATAAAACAAAGTGTCATCGTTTCAGCTCTCAAAACCCACAGACATCTTCAAATTAAAATGCAAAACACAAGAGTGCATGACTTTTGACGATGTTGCACAATTGCTTCCATATGAAACTCAGGCAGTTTTTTTCTTCTTTTCCTTCAGATTCTAGCCTTTCCTGCATGCAGTCCAATTGGTGCAGTAAGGAAGCAAACCTTCTGCTCTAAAAATATGGTCCATTCAATCGGCATAATGATTGCTATGGTGGCTTGAATAAAATTGTGTGTGTTATGTCTTGATGGCTACCTGACCGCAGGAGGTTTCTGCTAAGAAACACTTGCAGGTGTAGTTTTGCTTGTCATTGTCTCGGTGTGGAGACGGGTTCGGGATTTTTATCCGGGAATTGGCAGAACCAGTTTCTTCCTGAGGATTAAGCCACAGCGTTGTGTATCCGCCGGTGCAGAGCTAGCTCAGCAGCCGCAGGTGCGTTTGCATTTCTGGACTCTTGTGACTTCTGTCCATTCTTTAGTCAGGCGCCTTGATAAACCCATGTGTGGTGCCGTGTCCTATTCAAAGTTAAGAGCTTCTATGGACAATACAGGCTCAATTAATTAATTAATTAATTAATTTGTGGGCTTACCAACACGATGAAGGAATGTGCTACCTGCCAAAAATAACGTGGATCAAAACAGATCTTTTAAGCAACAGATCTCGCTTAGATTATTTTTTTTTTAATTTAGCTGATTCCAGTTTTTAACAACTTAACAGATGACAACAAGCTCTTTGCAACTCTGTAGGCATGGAAGCAAAGACTTTGTTCACTTATCGATTAAAGTACATTTTTTTTCTTCTTTTTACTTAGTCTGACTCATAGTGATAATTTAATCTCTCACAGTGGGTTGTTGATGTCAAGATGCCTGCACACAAAAACATGGTGACACCTGGTTGTCGGCGTCTCGCAGAGAAAGTCTCTTCCATTAACAATAACATCCGTCAACTAATGAGGACATTAACTACACTTAACCCAAATGAGCTATCCAGTGAAGTCGTACGGACAACCTTAAGATGCAGAAAGGACGATAAAGCCATGCATCGTAAGTTTCCATGTATATACTTGGACATAGGAATCTGTTAACTGCGAGCTTCTTTAACTGTAAAATAGTCTAATTGGTCCCTCTTGTGTAGGGGTGCCTGCTTGGGACAACCCAGTTCATCCTGCCTATTAATTTTACATAAGCTACTGCATTTTAAGTGGCTGGGGGTGGAGGCAGAATGAGTGAAATAAGACCCCCCCTGTCAGAGACTGTGTCCTGGACAAATGTAAAATCATCAGTATTTGATATATGATTGCGCATAGGCCATACCATGACCATGACATATCTGTATTTAAATCTCCTTTTTATTCATCTAGGGGGAAAAAAAAATTGAAGAAAGTTTTAGTTTTTTCTTGCTTTTTTCTTTTTTCCCCCGAAAGATCATCATCAAAGGGAATACTGTGTGTGAATCACTTATACCCCATTATGTCATAGTAGACTTCACTTCTTGAACTGAATATAATGATTGAGAAGCACCTGTATGCAGGCCACTGAAACATAAATTCCTGGTGATGAGGCTGAGTGATTTTTTTTTTTTTTTTTTTTTCCCTCCGGGTTGCGTCTGATTTTCCTCACATCGCCTGGTCTTTACTCCGAATCATTTAAGCCCCCATGTGTGGCGGTGTGCGCACACTCACCATTGGCTCCGGATCTTGTAGGGGCGTTGCTTCACCGTTATTGAGAGCTTTGGGTGCACCGAGGGGTGCTGAAGAGGATGGCCAGGGGAAAGCTTACTTGGCACTGATCCCTCCTTTCAGTAAAACACTGCAGTTTACATTTGGCAGCAGTATTTTTTATTTATTTATTTTTTTTGTAATGGAGTCTGAGGGGGGTGGGGGGTAGTGGGGGGGAGAGAGACGAGAGGATGAATGTGTCATAAACGCGGATAATTTTGCAGAGGGCAGCGGGTGCACGTTTTCAGCAATGCGATGAGGCCAATGCACTTTGCAAGAGTTGCGCTGCAGAGAGCCTCCGCGGATCCCACGACCTGTTGCTGACAAGCCGGGGAATAAGGAGAAGCAGACGGAGAAGTCGGGGTCGAGGGGGAGAGTCGCGCCGCGCCGCTCGGCAGAGACGGAGGGTAGGGTACTGCCTTGGACGGACTCTACGTGGAGGAAATCATGCATCTTGCAATCTGGCTGGTTGGACTAACGTGTCATTTGTCAGCACTCGCCAGGGAAACTCTGCAGTACCGATTGCATCCGAAACAAGGTAGGTCTGACTCGAATCGCCTCGCTCGTCACAGGTCGCAAACGCTATCATTCATTACGGCGACACCTTGATTGCCGCCGCGTCGCCGCTGAATCCCACGTTTCGTTGCAGAGAGCTTCATCAAGCAGCTGTCATCGTATGAAATCATCACTCCGCTCCGAGTGAACGACTTTGGAGAATCGTTCCCCCACAAGCTGCACTACAGAAGGAGACGGAGGAGCTTAAGTGATGACCTGTCGGGCTTGCGGCTTCTCTACAGGATCGACGCGTTCGGGGAACGCTTCCATCTCGACCTGAGCGCAGACTCCAGCTTCATCGCCCCGTCCTACACCGTGACTCACTTGGGAGCGGAGCGGAGCAGCGGCGACGCGGACTCGCACTTCCACGACCCCGGCGATATGCGGCACTGCTTTTTCCGCGGGCACGTCAACGCACAGAGCGAGCACCCCGCTGTGTTCAGCCTGTGCACCGGTCTGGTGAGTCCCGCTGGCTCTCACCGTTTCTTTTTTCTTTTTTTTTTTCTCTTTCATCAAGCGATGCTGACATGCTTTCTCCCATTTCAATGGATCCCATCCAGGCATATCCTGCAGAACCCGCAGTCTGAGTGAAGCGTGTAAGAGTGTAACAAGAGCAAGTGTTGCTGGACTAATGACGGAGGGATCCATGAACTCTGTTACCTATGGGGTGATGCGGTCTAAAGGTTGAGATTTTGACGTTGATCTGACCGGTTTACCCCTCATTTTTGTAGGATGGAGCAAAGACAGGTCCTTGCAAAAAGTATTCATACCAGGGAGCACAGTATGATAAATGAGCTATGTTAATATTTTTTATTTTTTGTGTGTGTGAAATTTTGTGTGGCAGAAAATGTGCCTGAGCACACCATCCCCACTGTGAGATAGAATGGTGGTGGTAGTATCATGCTGTGGGTATGTTTTTCTGAGGAAGGACAGGGAAGCTGGTCAGAGTTGATGGCTAAAGGATCGAGCTAAATACAGAGTAAACGTGGAAGAAAAGCTGTTAGAAGCTGCAAAAACTTTGAGATCAGGGATGGAGATTGACCTTATGGCAGGAGCCTGACGTTGAACATACAGCCAGAGGGGGTACAATAGAATCGGTTTATGTCAATGCATATTGTTGTCATACACAGGAGATATCGATATCGGAAATCAATCCGATATCAGACAAGAAATGAGCATTATCATTATCTTGACCTGAATCTAAACTCTTAGATAGAAACACTCTATCTAGAACAGCATTTCTATCCAGCAGCGCTTGAATCCTGCACGCAGACCACTGGTTACTAATACTCATTGTTGCTGCCTTTTGTTCATTTGATCAAGCTTTTTTTTGTAGCATTTCACAGTACAAAACAAGTAATAAAAGCATGCCTGATTCGTTCTGATATTGTTTCAGGTCAATATCGATATCGTCCAATACTCAAAGCTGCAACATCGGTATCATATCGGAAGTGAAAAGGTCGAAACAGGACACCTCTCGTAGAATGTTCCAGTCGGAGTTCAATTGAAAATCTGTGGGGAGGTTTGAAAGTAGCCACTTTATTTGATTTGACTAAGCTGGAGCTATGTTGAAAACCGTGTGTGTGCTTGTTACGAGAAGAAATGTGAAATGTATCATAGTTATTAGAAATCAAGATCAGTTTTTATTGAGCTTTCAAGGTCTTTCTAAGTTTTCCTTTGATTTTATTGCCTACATTTTGACTTATTTTCATCCCAGTACCTGACCAGACTCAGAGTAATGTGTTTTTGTGTGTGTGTGTGTGTGTGTGTGTGTGTGTGTGTGTGTGTGTTTGGAGATGCTTTACTCCAATCCATGAATCATTCAGACATGAAAAGACTTTTTAAATTCAAATGATGAGCCAGTGTTTTGTCTACACATACCAGACAACTTAGCAGAGATTCAGTTTTAAATTGTATCTTTAGACACTTTGTTCCTGACAGTCTGTTAAAAAAAAAAAATTAAAATGTTCCCATGCTTTTGTTGAATCTACAAAAAATACCAAAGATAACACAGTTTCAGATGGAGGCCTCTGAGAGTCTTGACATGGCAAACCAGAACAGAAGCCCTCAGTGAAACCTCAGGAGTTTTAGAAAACCGTCTCTGTACACAGAAGTGACTACCTGTTGGTGGATTTTTATAATCCGAGTCCTACATTACAATCACTACAAGAGTCGATTACGCAAAAACAAAGCAAAACTTTACACAAAATGTCCCCATTGCAGGTACAAACTGATGCATGATGGGTATGAAAACGTCCAGCACTAGACGACGACAGTTTGTGCCCAAAAAAGTCCGGCTCAAAATGACCAAACCTGCGGTGATGCAAAGTGGCGAGGTGCCTGAATGACCTGCATCTCTTACTGATTCATCTACTATTGCGTCCTAAGTTCATTCATTTAAACATTATACATTTAAGGCTGCCTGTGTTTGTGTGTGTGTGTTTTAGCATTTCTCGCCTGAAAAGCCAATTTTTCTAACAAATAGCCTACTACATTGTAAGGACCCACTGCTCCTTCCGGGGCACAAAGTCTGAGCCCCTTAAGAAGAAGTGCTGCTTTGGGATAGGGGCAAAAGTTTAGGATCAAGTTGTGAATTGAGTTTAGGTTAGACATTAAATGCAGCATTTGAATATGAAAACGTAATGTATGTGAATTTGTACTTGAGGACCACTTTCACAAAATCTACCAACAAAGAGAGGTCATTTGTGGAAAGCGGAAGCCTTTTCCCGGTCCTCCCTTTCTTGCAGTACTATTGTGATCTTCTAGTTTGGTTTACAGGTAAAATGGGAATTGAGTTTTGGCTAGGGTTAGAAATAAGGTAGTAATGGTTAAAACTTAGGGGAAATGTTTGGGTTGAGCACGAATGTTGTTACTTAAATGAATGAAACCCAATGCAAAGTCCTCACTTTGTGTGTGTGTGTGTGTGGTGCCACTGCAACAGTGAGACCGTTTTGTGTTACTATTTGGCTTGTTTGTAAGATTCCTTTCACCCATTGTAACATCAGCATAACTCGAAGTGAATGACATAATCTGAAATCCTAAACAACCTCATGAAACGATCGCTGACAAATGATGTAATTTGCCTTTTGATCACACTCGGCTGATAATTCCTAGTAAACAGTTTTGAACCCATATATATATATATATATATATATATATATATATATATATATATATATATATATATATATATATATATATATATATATATATATATATGTTTTTTTCTGTTTTATTTGCTGCAAACGTAATAAACCAGCTGACACAGACGCTGAAATGCGCCTCTCAAGTCGTCTTGAAGGGTTATGACATTTTTATTTTTTTTTTCTCTACAGATTTACCAGTTTGAAAAAGTTTGTTATGAGCCTGTAATACAGTTCAGGAGAGTGGTGGGTTTATAAATCCAGTATTAATCACGTGGGAATGCTCCTTGCTGGACTGATTTAGTTTGCTGACTCCTGTGGGAGAGAATCTGATAAGTGCTGAAGGGGATGACTTCATGGGTCACATGAGGTTACTGGACCAGGAGCAAGGGGGTTGACCTCAGTCGCACCAGCGGGATCCTGTGTGGGGGGTGGGTACAGAGTGACCGTAGACTTAGAGTCTCACTATTCCCGTTGCGGCATCTATTTCAGTGATGCAGATTCTTATTTTTGGACTGTTGTTGCAAGTACAGTCTAGAGGAGGACAGGTGGCTCTGAAACTAAGTCAAAAGAAAAACAAATTGAATTTTTTCCACCTAAGCGACACCACAAGGTGCCGCGCAATTATCGGGTTAATGAGCATTTCGTTGCCTCTTTGCGCAACCGCGACGTATTACTCGCTTATCCAAACAAGTTTGCTTCCTTTTTGTCAACATATCACTCACCGAGGATGACGGGACAATAGACGCGGCACCAAAGGCTGCTGGGTCATAAATGTGTCTTCATCTGTTCACTGGGGCTTGCTGGTCTGGGCCGCATTGTGTTGAGATGAGGTCATTAAAGAATAATTAAGCCATAAAACAAAGGGGTCATTCTAGGAAAGCACAGGTTTCCCATTTTCGTCCGGAGTTACTCAAAGCCATCCCCAGGGGGCGATTGATGAGGGGACAGAGGGGGAGTGGGGGGAGGAGGGGAGTGCGCGGAGTTCAGGGAGCTCTTTGCTCTTTTCAAAGTGAGCTCGCCGTGATGGACAGAAAAGAGGAGAAAGCTCTGCGGCGGAGACAACCGCCACTGAAGGTTTTGCGGGGAACTTAAGGATTGCTCACACCGTGGGAAATGTTTGTTCCCTGCGGAGCTGGCGCTCTCGGTTTTCTCCCATAATAGAAGTGTGTGATGGGTCATTCTGCCCTGAGAAATGGTTCTACCTTCTAAACGATGTAAAGATCAGGATCCCGACTCTTCCACGGGCCCTTTCACCTCAGAGGTCGCCACTGTTTTTTTTTTTGATGACTCGGCACAGAGAAGGGAGATGGAAAAAAAAAAAAAAAGAAAGAAAAAAAGCCATGTCATTTTAGTTCAGATAGAAGCCAGTCGGTTGTGAGGTCCAGTTCAGCCCTCCTTTCTAGCCAAACGTCTGGGAGATTTACTGAGCCAACACTGGGAAACTAAAGCTTTGCCTCTTTCTGGTGATGCAACAGGTCATTTGTGTGCTCAGACTGCTGCTAGTAGAGAGTTGTAGGATTAAATCGGATAGCATTGCAAAAAAACAGGCACCAGCTGCCTTATATTTAATTATAAAGTGCTTATATGTGCAAAAATGTGGTCTCACTTAAATGTTCTGTAATTAAAAATAATCTCACTAAACCTAGAATTGCAGCAATTTTCATGTAATTCTTATTCCTACAAAGCTTTAGTAACAAATCATTGAGAGTTATACTCAGTTTCTTATACCTGAACATCAGATTAAGTTGTTTTAAAATAATAACAGGAGAACAAAGGTGCAAAAATGTTTATTTTCATTTTGACAAGTTGAGTCATTTGTGCACAGATTATCAGTTGACAACACATCGTCTCAGACCTTTTTTTAGCCAAAGAAAAGTTTTTGTTCATTTTAGAGAGATACCCCTAAATGCATTTCAGTGCCATTAGTGCAGTGCCAACTTGTCAACTCCAATTAATTTATCAAATTTTATTTTTATTTTTTTGAAGAACTGTTTTAAACAGTGGCAAAAAGATGAATTTTTTAATTGATCTCACGTAATGTTAAATATTTTCGAGACTGAATTTCAAGCATTCGTTTCCTGTAAGCCGTCATCAAAATTCCAAAAAAATAAAGGCTTTCATTCTCTGTGTGCTGAATCTGTAAGATATAATACATTTAAACTTCCAAAATGAAAAAACAAACCTTTTCACAATATTAAACATTTTAGATGTTATTGTGGAATGTGCAGAGGAGATCCTCATGAATGCAATCAGAGCGCTGGCTGAATGCAAAGAGCAGATTTGACCTCAAGCTTGTTGCATTACTTGAAGTGCTGCCGTTGTGGATAAGATTAGATTGCAGTTCTGGCCTGTGGCCAGTGTGTCCAGTCCTACTTTATATTCTCTGATGATCAAATCCTCTAGGTCACTAAGCAATTTCATTTGGCTTCTTGGCTCCTTTATGGAGAAGCCAGAACTGTGATGTGCTGCCATCATCATTTTTAACCAGAGCTAAACTTCATGCCGTGCATGCTGAAGAGAGTTGGGTAACTCTGCATATGGGGAGCAAAGTGAGCTCACTGTGCACAACAGAATATATTAATAGACTATGTTAACACTGATTTTTAACCAACAGTTAGCTGGTTAACTTCATCCACATTCAGTTCTTGGAACTGAAAAATGACGGGGTAAGGCGCAGGAAGGTGTCAAAGTTTGACGCTCTAAGGTCTCGTAACACTGCACCGGAAGGGTGCTGAGAACAAATTGTGAACAAATCCTTCCACTCTTGGTGAACAAACACAGTTTGTACTTGTTTTCCGTATCTGAATCCTTACGTTTCCTGCTGTCAAATGCCCATCACCTGTGGGGACGGCTGTGGTGTAACACACCCGTAAAGATAACATTCCAGGGTCCAATATCCGGCTTAAGTGTGCGCATGAAATTACCATGCAAACACCACCGTGCCTCATGGCTCAAAGCGCTAAGAGGCTTTGAGAGAAGCTGAGCTGCCAAATCAATATTAGCATTCCTCTGTCAGCAGCTCTCTCCTTTTATGATGATGTCACTCCTCCCACTGTCAGCGTGTGAGGAGGGAAACGCATTTCCAAAGTTGCGAACACATGACAGGTCAGCTTCTGCGCAGACTGTTCACACAGTTGCAGTGAATCGCTCGCTTGCTGATGATTGCGCAAAAAGGTGCAGGATGTGTGAAAATGTTCCGTTGTTGTCGTGGGTAAAAGTTCAAGAGTGACAGAAAGCGAGCTTTGACGAGAGATTTCTGATTCAGTATGTTCTTTCCATACGTTCCCGTCAAAAGCAGACAAACTCTTTAAGAGTTTTGCCCGAGGCGATATCAGCGTTACTTCAGTGTCAATGAGAGTCGGTTGTAAGCTGAACCCCACACGGTATATGCTCTCACATGCAATCACACGCTTTGTGCCAAGGCCGTGAATGACGTCTCTTTTCTCTCCGTCAGGTCGGAACGTTTGCGACGCAGCACGCCGAGTACTTCTTGGAGCCACTTTTGAACGTGTCTGGCGCGGAATACGACGAAGAGCACAAGAAACCGCACCTTGTCTATCGACACGAGAGGAGACGAAATGCCTCGCATCCTGACGAACCCTGTGCTGCCTCGGGTAACAGACAGCCTAACTCGTTTGCCTGTGACCACAGTCTGTCTGAGTTTCACCCTCAAACACTTACCTCCTCATTACCTGTGCACACTTCTCTGAATCATGGCCTTTAATGCTGCCTTAAAATTTAAATTCTGTGTCAGTCGCAGTTTTTTTTGTGTGTGTGTGTGTGTGTGTGTGTGTGTGTGTGTGTGTGTGTGTGTGTGTGTGTGTGTGCTCTACGATACCTGAAAGATTTCAGCCTTGGTTAAGGGGTTTTAATGAAAGCCTCTCTCAACTTAATTAAGCAAAACTGGCTCCAAGGGCTGTTTGCTGTTTGTTGCTTTTCTTCTGCTGAAGCAATCTTTGCCAAGTCCTCTGGCAGGAGCTCAGACAAGGTTAGAAGTAATTACGATTTAGTTTGGAGTTGCATTTAAAAGAACTCGGGGGAAATGTTTTCCGCCCGAGAGCCTGCTTGTGCGTTCCCCCCTTCCCCCCCTGTTTCCTTTAGAGCTTTTACAGCGAGGGATCTGGGTGGCAGAAAAAGCAATGTGACTGAGTGAAGTTCACCTCGATGGAAGACCCTCGCTGAACTCCTCAAAGGCAGCTCTCAAGGTGGCCTTTTGTTGCATAATGCAATAAATCTTTTATGGGCAGAACTCTTGAGTTGCTTGTTGTCTGGCGTCGGCCTTTGTGGTCTGATGGTGGCCATTGTCTGTGGACTGACCAGGCCAATGACGCCTTATGATGCTTTGGCCTTTCACTCTTTTGGCCTGTGTGTGTGTGTGTGTGTGTGTGTGTGTGTGTGTGTGTGTGTGGCAGGCAGAGTCTAGGGCCAGAGATGTTCACTGCACCCCCACCCTGGGACATGTTTGAATATACTCACCCTTTAGAAAAAACATCAGATGCCTCATCATACATTCATTTCGTATTACAAATTCTGCTTCCTGGGTCTTTCCCTCTTTGGTCCAGTTGTGACCATCTCAACACTCAATTTACACAACTTCAGCCTCTACTTTGCTGCACACAAACACATGCAAATTCGGACATTCAGACTTTGCACGTCTGCACAACCACTTGCTGTTACTAAGAAGCTTGTGGTAAATGAGAGATTCTGAATTTCAACAGCGACCTCCAGGAAAAATACAGAGAACTTCAAAATCATATTTAACCTGGTTATGTGTGATCGATATCAAAGTAAATACAGAATTCAATGTTCAACTGGTGGCTTCTTTTAAGAAGGGGCAAAAAATGTGAGCTTGTGTGAAAACAATACTTGGTTTGAAAACCTAACGTCTGGTTGTGTGACCCCTTTGGCAGTAAAAACTGCTATCAGATCCTGGTGACGGACGAACTTTGGCCCAATTTTGGACTAGCTTTTTACTTATTTTTTGAGCCATTCAGAAGTGTTCTTCCTCTTCCTGCAGTGTGCTTGTGTTTAAAATCACAATGGGCAAAAAAACCAACAACAAAAAACAAAACAAAACAAAAAAAAAAACAATAATCTACATCCAAAGTTTTTTTTTGTAAGTCTTGGTCCTCATCAAGATTTTTTGGTTGGGAAACTTGAGTTTCTGTTTTTTGGCCAGCAGTGGTTTATACCTTAAAATTCTCCCATGGATGACATTTTTCCCCAATCTCTTCCTTACTATTAAACACTTAGCTTCACTAAGCTAGGTGTACACCCTGGACAGTCGACTTGTCCAGGGTGTACTGCACCACTTACCCAACGACTGCTTGTGAAAAGATGGGGAAGGATAAGCTGTCCTGGGAAAAGTGAGGCCTGGAGTGCTTTTTTATGTTGTTTGACCTTCTAAATGAGTCGTAGATTGGGTCTTTGAGCAATTTTATTAGTTTTTTTAAAAACCATTCCAATATGTCAGTTACTTTGTTTTGCATCTGTTCTTGAATGTGTTTCAAAAGAGACATCATTTGTTGCATTTTGAGATATTTTAGCCTAATTCATGTGGTCAAGTGTTTTTTCAATTTCCAGGCCTGACTTCAAAGTGTGGCTAGAATAAGTTGAACTTGTTCTATTTTAGGTCTATTTGTCATCTGTGTTGGAAATATTGTTTTTCTGTTTCCCACACCCTTTCCTCTCTTTTTTTTTTGCCATTTTTCTTCTTCCTGTCTTTATAATTTTTACATCTTTGCGGTCTGACCCAGACCGCAAAGACGTAAAAGTCGATCATTCAACAATATCCTTTTCAATATTAAGTCCTGAATCACAATCTTTCACTTTTAGTCACAACTTTCTGTAACTGTAAAACTCACAAGTAATTAATGTACAACAAATAACACTTTCTGGCGCATGTAAGAGATGGGAGGTAGGAAAAAAATGTAAATTTCCCAGGACACCTGTGGGGCTTCATCAAAGGAAAGCGAGGTAAACATGGTGGAGGAGGATTAAAAGAACCGGTGATCCCAACTTAGGATTGTGAGGTGACCCAGGCTGCAGCTCCTCAGCTTTATCAGATAGGAGATGGAGTGATAAAAGGTGCTCTTTGAACGCCACATTGAGTCAAGACTAACAAGCCTGTCATGTCTTTTTATGGGAAGGAGAGCGGAGCACGCTGCTACTAGCAGGTTCGACATAAACCGCGACTTGACGCGTGCCGTTCTGCTTGCAAAATACTTGTAGTTGCTGCTTTTTGAATTGACATATCGTCCTACAAGGTTTGAACTGCTTTCGCATTTTCATTGATAATCTTTGATTTCAAGTAGCTCAATGCCGTAGGCTGTTCTCTACAACCAATTAGACAACGTGTCTAATCATAGTTGGAAAGTCTCAAGAAACATACATCTTGCAATTTGGTTGTTTAGTATGGAAACCATAACTCCTTAAGGACCATAAATAGCATCTCTAAAGAAACCGGTAACATCACATAATTTCGAATGCTGCAGAATGGAGTTCACATTTCAATCTGCCTTTAGCGACTTAAAAATAGCAGTCTCTGTTCGTATTCCCTTGATTTAAGGGACTTTACTTTGACTCTTTAAGATTTCCAAAAAGGTTACCAGCTTTTCCAAATCCCAAACATTCCATGACAAGAGTTTGAAAGCCCACATAGACAAGTCACAGCAACTTTTGTCGTTTTACTTTTAGCCTTCCTGTTATCTGCTGTTATCTCTTGCTCTATTGTGGCATTAAATAAAACAGACATGTTGCAGAAAATTGTTTCCCTTTAAACAGCTGCCTATGCCTCATGTGTGGTCACTTAAATGCCTCACTGACAGTGAAATAAACTAGCTGTGTGTCTTCACACAGTAACCGCTTCCTCACCAAAGGGTGTTATTGTCACTGTGGCCTAGCAGCTCTTGTTACAGTGTGTTCACTGATTGGACAGAGATCACGTAGTTTTATTCCTCACAGCATATGATTTCTTGGTGCAATTTCAAACATTTAAATAGTCCTAAAGATTGTTTTCTAGCTCTATGTCCAAAATGCAGTGGACAAACTAAAGAAAAATGTAATTTCTGGTAAAATGTACAGATGTTATTGTAATTTTTAGTTCATTTCAGCTGTTGCAGTAACCCAAGATGATACTTATTCCTATAATAACAATTTACTTTCTAATGTATCCATGAAATTATTGACCCTGAGAGCATGTGATGTTGTTGAGAGGCTGGATTTCGGTATTATTTTTGAAGTTACAATAGCACCCTTTGTCAGGGTCAGTCATCTTTATGACTCCTTTCTTCTCTTCCTCTCTCTATGTGTCTGTGAAGAGGGCTCTTATTCGAAATCAAAACTGGGAACTGGAGTGCCGAGTGGTTTGGCAGGTTTGGGACTTTGAAGAGGTTTGAGGCATTCAAAGGCCTTTTTAGGTTCAAACACATGGAAATGCAGACTGGCCAAGTGTGCCCCACTTGTCATACGGCTTCTCCCCACTTGTAAAGAAATTGTTTTTTCTTTAAACATTTGCTCACGGGTGGTCATTATTAATCTTTGTTTGGCTTTCGTTTTCCAAGCAATCCTTGAAGAAAACTCATGAAAAGAGCCAAAAATTTTTTTAAAAATAAGACGTCAATCACGTCCAACTGGAACAGAACACAAAAAGTTAAACAAAATGTTTTTTTTTTAAGCTTCACTAAATATTTAGTATGCTGAAATGCACTTATTTGAATTTTGTTGCATTTTTCCAGTCTGTTTTTATTCACAGATACCAATTTTGGTAAGAGCTGTAATAACAAAAAGTATAAAAACAGCAATGATAACATGTTTTTAATTAAGCCATAAATTATCAGGGACTGTAAAGATTGTGCTGCTGCATGGGATAGAAAGATAATATTTATTTTCCATACATGTCCCACATTTTATACAGAAAAAATTTGACATTTTTAATTGACCTTAGCATTTTCTTTTAGCATTTAGTTCAGTTGATGGGGCTGGAATTATAAAAACTCCAGTGTTTGTGGGTATATTGTAGAGAATCTAGATCCTTACCCTAACATCTGATAATCCCAGACGTTGCAGACTCGGCACGTTTCATGACAGACAGAGGTTAAACTCTCTGAATTATAAAATGGTGCATCTTTCCTGTACTCATCATCCCAGACAAGCCCCCAATTTGTTGGAGGCTGGATTAAAGACCATAATAAATAAAGGGAAGCAATGGATGGGAATAACTAAAAATTTTAATAAAGAAAAACCAAACAAAAAACAAAATCTCCAAAATGACTGGCAGGAGAACAGAGAGGCACATACAAGTGATGTGTTTTAGTCCTGTGTGGTGACACTGGCCAGTTTCATGCACTCAGCCTCCCTGCCTTACCTCACCGTAGGTTACCATAACAACAAGAATTGGGACAGTTGCACCTCGAGGCAGTGAGAGTTTCCAAAACTTGTGTGGTTTTTGAACAAATACGGTTAAAAGTAACCCAAAGGAACATCTGCACATGTATTTATTTAACTGAGGTTTAGTTTTGCTTTCAATGTGGTGACCTTTGACAAGTAGAAATCCTTGACTTTGTCGTGCATGGGCCATCAGTGTCTCAGAGTTGTCAGAACAGAAGTGGACTCGTAAGGACTTTTAAAGTGTTACCTCGATGGAATGTGATGTTCTGTTATTTCAGCAGACAGAACATGGCCATATATCTGTCTGCAGCAGCTTTTCTTCCCAGTGTGTGTCTTCATGGACTGTTGATAAAAGCATCTCTGTCACTGGACGACCTGGTGAAAAAAAAATTAGAGATTTAAACTGTCTTTGTTTATTTTGTTGTTTTTTGTGGTTTAATGGGTTAATGCAGAGTTTTGTCAGAAAGACCTCGGACAGCCCGATAAGTTCTCATTGGCTGATATGTGTTGCAGTTGTATCAGTTTCCTTCCTTGCTCTCCCAGTCTGGGTGGTTTCACTGCTGTGGAGAATACCACTGGTGTAGATAGCTGCAGAGTGGGTGACTAATGTGTGCTTTCTTGAGCCCGGTTCTGGATTCAAAAGCATCTAGGATAGAAGCTCACCAGGCACGAATCACAACACGGCTTTAATGACACACATTCTGCAGGGTATCTGTCTCTGAGCCTGCATGCCAAATCCATGTGTTGTCCTTCGAAAAGAGATAACCCAAAAGGATGAGGGTGTCTGCAGATAGGGGTAAATTCTTCACCGGTTGCATCTCTCTGTGTTTTCTAAAATCCATCTGGAGACGGGCAAGAATTGAATAAAACCGAACGGTATATTTTTTTTCTAGCCCCTTGCCAGAAATTTGGTGGCTTAACCTGTCTGTCACTAGAGGACCCAAATTTGGGTCCTCTCGTGACAGGGGTGTCAAACTCCAGTCCTCAAGGGCCGCTGTCCTGCAACTTTTAGATGTGCCTTAGATGTGCCTTAGATGTGCACCACACCTGAAAAGAATAATTAGGTCATTAGCAAGGCTCAGGAGAACCGATCTACACAGGGAGGAGGTAATTAAGCCATTTCATTCCACTGTTTTTTACCTGTGGCACATCTAAACACTGCAGGACAGCGGCCCTTGAGGACTGGAGTTTGACACCCCTGTCATTGTGAATGACAACCTGAGACCAACAGGTTAATTTGAGCTAAATTACGAGGCTTTTTATCCTCTTGAACTCACTTGAACATATACTGTGTCTAATATTTTGAATTTTTCATGGCAGCACCTCGATTTTTTTCTTTATTTTTTTTTACATTTTGTAAACTTTCAATGAATCGTAAATCTCGAAAAGCTGCAGAAATCCACACTTCAGGTGGGAGAATCTGTTTTCAGGACAGCTATCTGTTGCCTTCTGAGTAGCAAGAAGAAAATCACAGTTGAAAGCCGTGAAAAGTCCCTTTTACTTTTCCCTCAAGCCATTTAGGACCACAGCAAGAAGGTGCTCTGGTCAGACGCGACCAAATTGTAACCCTTTGGGTTAGCCGCACAATGCTGGATAACTAGCATGACACAAAACCTTGAACACACCACGCTATGGGGGCACATGTTGGTGACAGCATCATGATGTCGGGACAACAAAATAACCAGAAGACACGAGAATATGGAATAAGCTAACTATGGGACAGTGTAGAAGAATAGTTGTTGAAGGCTGTAAAAGACCTTAAGCACATCCGGAGTTTTTGGGTGTTTCAATAGCTCCTAAATCCAATTTAAAATGAGATTTCCAAACAGTAGATCAACTTCTGTGTTTATAAAGTGACAAAGTCTGAAAATGACATTAAGGTGCTCAACTTTTGTCTGGGCTGCCGGTGGATGAAGCAAGCAAGCCACTTATTGCTGGAAGCTGTTGAACAGATAGAGGAATGGAAAGGAAACTCCTGTTTTGATGTGTGTGTTTTTCATCCCTGGCCTGCGCTGCATGTGTCTGTCAGGCTTACTCCAGAGTTTGGCAGTGGTGTCCGCCTACTTGCAAGATCCCACTGTCTTTGCCGCTTACTGCTTCTGAAAACCGTAGTGGCTTTTGTCATTAAATATGTTGGTATATATAGTCTTGTGTTTGCTACTGCATTTATTTACGTGTACAAAATTATAAAATGAATGTGATCCACTAAGTCTTGAGCAGGCGTTCCGACTATGGTCTGTCTCTGAATTTATAGCCGAGCATGACGTGTAGCTGCTAATAATTGCACTCAGTGTCACCTGATGTAATGACAGCAGAATCTCTGGATGGGGCCCAAACAGAGCCGTACGCCGTCAGTAACCTTAATGGCTTCCATGTGTCTGCCTGTCCGGAGGCCGTGGCCTTACTGAACCCCGCGTGTTGTGTTGTTTTAGCCGTTCCCGAGACAGACTTCAGCTGGAGCTATTTTCTGACGGTGTCTACTGCCTGGGTTGTCGCAACCCATGTGGGCCGAGTGGAATGGTTGGAATAATTGGAGTGACGGTGGCTAACTAATTGGTGACCTGGGTGAAAGTTGGAGATAAATGGCACTGGCAGGTGAGAAGCAGCTTTCTCTGAGGAAAGCCAGGTCTAAGAGTCGCTCGGAGAGCCATTAGTGTTGTGACCTGGGGCTGCGGCTGTTCATCAGCGATGAGCTAGACAGTAATGAAAACTGATGACCTGCTCTGTGCATGTCAAGGCCAAAGGTGCTTCTGCATTTTAAGTAGTTTTTTTTGGGGGGTGGGGGGTTAAGGGTCATTCTAGGCTTAATGCTTTGGAAAACAGTTACTTCACCTGAGCTTAGCAATCTTTTCCATAAAGATTGCTTGTTTGCATGATTGATTGGTTTGAGTCAAAAAAATTAAGGAGTTCAGCTTGGAGTCAGCAATAAATTACCTTTAGGGACAACGAAGCATAAGTTATTGTCAAGTTCGAGCTGGTAATTGAAATTAGATAATCCTGGTAAAAACCAGCTCCGCTTTGTGCAGAGAGTCTGGACCCCCGGCTGCTGTGAAAGATTGCTTGCTGGAGATGTTGACTCTGTCACTAAACATTTGGCCGTGACGTATGTAATGTACCAGTTCGACGCTATGAAGGTTACCCGTAAAACAACCACACCCAACAGCGAAGAGAGGAAGTGCCAAGCTGAACAAGATGAATGCTAACGTTAATCCAACATCTGGAAGCGTACCCAACATGGACTGAACTGGCATCGCCGCAGAGGATGTGCCAGACTGCAGTTCTTAAACGGCTCTGAAAAATTAACGTCGTTCACAAGCTCTCCTCCTGTTTGCCGATTGGCTCGGTTGAAATTCTACTGGAGGAATCCACCTCAATGGAGGAAAGTCCTGATGGATCACTGGAAGGAGATGAGAATCTGGCAGAATTGTGTAGGAAGGTAATTAGATCAAACTAATCTGGGTTAAACAGAATCACAAAGTCACCACAAAACCATCTTCACATATTGAGATTTGTACAACACGTGTTTTTCAGAATGCCAGCATGTATTTGCTACGACAGCTTAAGAATCCTTTATCTATCGAACTGAACAGTTTTAGTTCTACCTGGTGTGCTGAAAGCCCACATCTCTCAGTGCGGCTGAAAACAACACCGCTTGACTTTTAAAAGCCGTCTTTGGCTGAAACAATTTGTTGTCTTTTCTTCTACCCGTCTAGCCACAGAATTGCACTTAATTGTGCCTCCGTCTGAAGGAGTTGGTAACATTTATCCCTTCTCGAGTTTCGCTGTCAGGTAATTTCAGTAAGCAGACTGTCTGACTTTGTGCGGAGGCAAGGCAACACCAATATGTCTGAGGTACACGGCCTTTTTAATTATTACCCTGGGAATAAAGCTCAAACTCTCAGCAGGTCACTGTTAAAGAATGTTAATTAGCTCAACAATGAAATTTGAGTTTCCCTTTGTTCTCTCCTAAACTGGGATGTTTGGGAGAGTCAAAGCATCTGCAGCTCAGTTGAAAGCAATCTCTTTTTGTACTGTATGCACACAGTTCAAAGCGAAGGCGCTTCCTTGTTATAAACTAGTTGAAATTCAACTCTGCATGCTAGCTCAGGATTGTTTGCGTTATGTCGGAGAGGTAAGAAAAAAAACTTAGTTTATCAAGTTGACATTTCAGCCGTCCGACATACATCTCACATGTACATCTATGCCTTTTTTTCTTATGGAGCTCTCTGTTATGCTGGGATTTGGTGATTGTTATTTATTTATTTATTTATTTATTTTTTGCTTTAAAAAAATGCCTGAAGCCTTCAATAAACTTGTGCAAAAGAAAACAAGCTACAAAGTTGGGTTGTATGATATCTAACATAAACCTGAGCTACTGTTTGCTTCTTTTGGCCTAAATTTGGTTTTTGACCATCAGCTTCCTGAATGATTCAGTTTCGGTTGTTCAGTTTCCCAGACAAAACCTGAATATTTTTTAATTATTTATTTATTTATTTATTTATTTATTTTTTAAACTTTCTCACTGTGATCGTCTTGTGGCATGCTGATGGAATAATTTACACAGCAACAGGTGTGCTGCTCATGTTGGTTGGTTTTTATATAAAGCATTGGACACGTGCAGGTTAGACATCTATCTCACAGACCTCTGTCACAAGTAACTCCTGGAGTTGAAGTTTACGATACTTTAATTATTCTTAGATGAAACACGAGTTGGATGCATTAAGCATGGATGTATATTTGATTCGAATCAGGGGTGAAATCATGTCTCTGTGCTCAGTGCACGAGGTCGGTCACCCCCCCCCTCCCCCACCGTCTCCTCATGGCGTAAGTAGCAGATCACCACCCAGTGAAAGGGAGATTTCAACTCAAGGCGATTTGGCTAATCTGCACTGATTCAAATGCTATTATACCTGGTACAATATGCTCATCTCCTCTTTTTTTTTTTTTTTCTTTCTGTACTGTTACTGTTTATATATAGGCTGGTCGTCCTCTGTGCCTTCGTAATCCCCTTGATGTCTGCATTGATGATTTTGTTAAAAGAGGTTTAGTGTCGTAGGTTTGACACTGATGAGTTTCTTCCAGGAAAACACAAAGCTCCGTTCTGAGCCAGCGGGCAGGGGCACAGACGGGCTTGGCCACAGCTCAGATGTTGAGACTGGCATGGGGCTGGGCCTCTCGGCGGCAAGAGCTGCGCATCGCTGTGCCAGAAAGTCACGCTCTGCCTCATGTACCCATTGAGGGCACTGCTTGAATAATCGTAGAGCGCTAAATGGATTGCCTCCCCACCATTTCCATCTTTTTTTTTTCAGTCTTTCAAATAGATGGACACAATCTCTCTTTGTGTAAGACTATGGAAAAACTGAGTTTAGCGAGTACAATTGAAGTCTTCTCCATCTCTGAGGACAAAGTTGAGGAGGCTGTCGGGGATGATGAACTCGAAGCTTTGTACGGCTCTGAAGCATCGAGACGCTTCCTTGGCGTCATTCACTTGCTGCATGAAATCAGTCCTGTGTGTATTTATGTTATTGTTTACTTAAAGAAATAAAAGAGACCTCCACCAGCTTCCAAATCTAGAGACTGACATCTTTCACCCTCCTAGTTTGCGAAATATCTCCAGCTCAGTCACAGCTGCGATCAGGTCGGACTAGTCCAGGGGTGTCGAGCTGTATTCTGTCAGTACAACAACGTTAGCTGTTCTACGAGTCCTGCTCATCACCTGATTATTTGAATGGCGTCAAATGAAGCAAAGAGAGACCTAGAAGTTTCAGGACCCCAACACTGGCCTTAAATGAGATCGAACGCCGAATGTGGATCTCTGGCTCTACAGGAAGCTAAACTTGTGTTGGTGTACCCTGCCTCTCGTCCAATGACCGCTGGAGAGGCACCAGCACCTCTCACGATCATGCAACGATAAGCCTGATAGATAGTGGATGAACTGAACAATGCTTTGTCGGACGTTCAAAGCTTAGACCCTTCTTCAGAATGATCTGTCTGATATGTTCCTGATTCTTCTTCATGCTGTTTGATCAGTTCAGTAATGTTCTCCAGCGTCCCTCTGATGTATTCACTGGACAGATGATTTCGTGCTATTGTTTCTGAGATTAAATAATCACTAAAGGACTACTACTGTTTACTAATGAAGTGGCTTAAGGGTGTCAGAGTAAAGGGGGGCTTAAACATATGTGTGAAACTCTTCAGATTCTCGTTTGTAAAATAATGTTTTTGTGGTAAAATGTGAACAAGTTCAACGTGTATGGTACCTTTACGTGCAACTAAATAAAGTGAAATTGTGCTTTCATCTCTGAATTATGTTGAGATCTGACCACCTTTCATTGTGCTTTAGTTTGACAGACTCTGATGTTGCATTTCCTGTCGGGGAAATTAGATTAGCCTCCCTGGAGCTTAGAGACAGCTGGACGTCTTGTAACATGATGTGGTGATTCACTGCAAAAGTAAATAGTTTTTTTTTTCTTTTATGGATCTGTTCTCTTGTTTTGTCTCAAAAATGCAGTTTTGAGCTAACAACTTATATCACCTGCAGTTCTTTGGCTTTTGGAGTAGGCTTATCTGTTTTTTTAGTTTTATTTTTTAATGCTGCTTCTGGCTCTTTAGAAGTATCTCACTAAGCTCTTTCGGTCTCATGAATGTGTAATTAAATCCGCTTGAAACTTTCCAAGTTTTCCTCTTCCTTCCCTCCTTCCTTCCAATGAAAAAAAGAAACAAAAAAAAACACCCTGCCTACTCTTTTCGTCTACCCCTGTCTCCCTCTTTTAACTTCACCCTGTCACGGTGAAGGAATCTCTTGCTGGGAGCCAGCTCAACACGTGCAGTTCAGCTGAAAGAACTGCGCCTGCTGAATTTGCGCGGCATTCGGCTGTCATTGTGGTTGGGAGGCTGAATGCTGCTGAAGGCATTCATCTCAGCACTTGCAAATGAAATTGTTGCAGTCTGGGACTAAATACATTTGATTTATGCCTTTCAGCGCAATGTTTTTTAAATTTTTTTTTTTTTTTTTTTTATGCCACCATTTCACAGAAGCGACTGACCAGGCTCATGGTAAAGTTAAGCAGTGACTGCAGTCTTCTGGTAAAACATATCACACAATCATTATATGAACTTTTATTCCACCTCTCAGTTTCAGCTTTGAGACGCTTAATGTTTTTTGTTTTTTTTTGCATGTGCAGTCAATACCTGAGCTTTGATTCTCCCTGGGATGTTTTGGGTTTGGGCCAATATCATATTTTAGGGTCTAATTTTGCTTTAGGTGTTTTTCTTTTTGCAGACGCTCTCAGATTTTACCCAATCGTCCTCTCCGACACAGTTTAATTGATGGTGGATTCTCTGATGGTGTTCTGGTCACTTCCAGCTCTGTGCTTCACATCTGACATGAATTATTTCTACATTTCTTGTCTTGGTCTACATTCTTCTTGACAAACACTCGGCTTTTGTTTTCAATTCAATGGTCAGGAGCATAAGAAACTAAATGTCCGAGGTTTAAACAATCCAAACTCCTTCAATGTGCTCAACAATGATCAACTTCTTCGATACGACGAAGAAGTTGATACGACGTTTGATAATGGACGTTTTAAGTGGGATAACCTTTTTTTTTTTTTTTTACAAAAAAATCATTCATTTTAATCACATTTTTACAGAAAACGTCTTGCACAAATATTCTTGACATGAATGTTTTGTGTGTTTAGATGCCATACAAGTAAATTTTGAAAAATATGTTTCACTTTGAAACCATCAGTCATATTGTACATTAGTAGATTTCCATGATCGTCTGGATTTCCAAAAATATTTGGATTTTTTTTTTTTCTTCTTTTCGTTAAAGCAGGAAACTCCAAGAGGCCGGCCTCTTTTGAGAGCAGAGGGAACATGGCTGAGGAGCTGGATTCTCTGACAGCCACAATCGACCAGCATCACATTGATGAAAACGGCACCAGGCGCGACGGCACGACCATCCCGCAGCGACGCAAGCGCTTCCTCTCCTACCCTCGCTACGTTGAGCTGATGGTGACAGCGGACGCCAAAATGGCCCGTCACCACGGACGCAACCTGGAGCACTACATCTTAACAATCATGTCAGTAGTAAGTAAAATAATGCTTCTAAAACTATCTTTTTATTATTATTATTATTATTATTATTTTTTTTTTTACATTTGCATAATTTAACATCTTGAAGTCAATTCTTTCACTATATCCAATCTAAGGAGCCATTGATTGTTGTAGTTTTACACTCTTGATTCTGGTTTTGAGAACCAGATTCTGTACACGGAACAAGAGCTTTACAGTATGTAATGTAAACACAAACTGCATCTCTGTTTTTTTCTTTTTGCTGCAATCTAATAAGTGATTGCTGGTTGTTTATTGGTCACACATCTAAAAATATTTTTGTAAATATAATAGCAGTTCTGAAATTGTGCTGAACTTAAATTTCTGTGTTGTGAATCTATTCAGTTGGTTAAAAAGCTAAAAATAAATAAATAAATGATTTCCATATCCCCAGATTGCACACTGAATAGTGCAACAGCTAAAGCATGATGGTCTAGCCCCCCAAAACAACCTAGTAAATCTAACCACGTGGCAAAGTGTGCCAAAGAAAAGATAAAAGCACAGAGACATCCGGAGCAAAATAATAATAATAATAAAAAAACCTCTCCGTAACTAATTACTATGTCTAAGGGGTAAAAAATATAATAAATCTTGGTTGTAAACCTTGTGGCGGCTTCGGCTTAATGCAACCAAAACCACAGCGGCCTGGTTAACTGGGCCTGCTCCGACTCGGCCGCCGGACCTTTTGTGAGTCCCGAAGCCATCTAACAGCTAACCTACTCACAGAATTATTAAGCGTCTCAGTCAAACAGTGTGAAACGGGATAGGTAGATGGACTGGACTGAATGTTCCCTCTGCCACCTCTCTCCGGTTTCATTAACAGTAGATTTAAAGGACTTATTAACCTATGCGAGAGCAATGATTGTCAATGTTGTGTTGCTGTTAAACAGAGTACGGTCAGTGATAAATGCCGATGTGCTAATTTTCTGTTGCACAGGTCTAAGTGTGAGTCAGTCTGATGTGAAAACCTTAAAACAATATATTTAAATTTTGCTTTTCTTTGAGCAGAAATAGTTTTGTTATTTTAAACATAACTCTAAATACCTTTGGACCAAAAATGCGCAGAATAGAGCATCGTTCATAAATATAGAGGAAATAAAAAAAGGCTAGTTTTAAGTTTTAGTGGGTTTTTGCATTTTTCTAGCAATGTCTCCATGTAATTTCCAGAGCCGTGTCATCTAGAAATAACAAACTATACTTTTGTTTCTTTTTGTCCTTAGTCTCCAGACCAGCCACTTCCCCACTTGATTATCTACATTTACAGCAATTTCTGCTAACCAGATAAATCCATCCTTCTTTTTCCAAAGTTTAATTTTCTGTTACCTAAAACTTCGAAGTACGAGTAAAACGACGTCACTTTAACTGCAGAACAAGCTAATTTGACGTTACAGATGCTCATAAAAACCGATAAGCGGCTGTTTTCAAAAGCACATTTCGGTTTTTTCGGTTCCAAACAAACTCAATCTTTGTCCCTTCTGCCATGACCCGTTTCCGAGAGCCCATTTGTCTTGTCAGTGTGTGTCCCTCCATATTCACGTCGAAGACAGGTGCAAGCAAACATGGGACCGAAACTGTACATGCACTCTGTGATAGAACAATATTTAGCTTTTAAAACGCTTAGAAAACATTTATCTGCAGCCTTTTTTTTTTCTTTTTTTTTTAATGCTTCTTAGTACATTTGCATCTGTGTTTAGTTACTGCCTTATCAAAGATCCTGCAGGCCGCAGTGCCTTCACATAACAACACGCACTGGAGCGAGAGGAAATGGACCAACATCTCATATGTCACTCTTAAAGCAAGAGCTTGCAAAGACAAGCTCCCAGTGTGTAGGCCGAGGCCACGTTTTGCCTCCCCTCAGGCTAAGACAAGCTAAATGTTTATGGTGGACTAATGAGTTCCTGTCATGAGGCCGGACACAGCCTCAGGAGACGGCTGGCCGACCGTGACAGGGCCGCTCGAGTACAGCAGGAGAGCGATGAGATATCTTGCCTGTTAATCTTAAAGCAAAGAGGCATTTTTGCTGCCATTAACCAAATCAAGCCAAAAGAATAGTTGGTAAAAAAAAAAAAAAAAAAAAAACCCCC